ATGCTTCCTGTTGAAGAGGAATTGATTTCCACTACATCTTACCATAGAAAATATACATCTATTTGTTGAAAAAAAAAATTGTTCAAATTTGAATCTATTTTTGGACTTAAGCAGGCTTTTTGCTTCCTGTTTAAACAATTTGACCCCTTCGTATGTACATCATTGGTGTTTTCATCTGTAACAAAAGGCTGAAAATGAAATCTGACTCAAGCTTTACAAGATTTGCTAACTCGGGAAACTATCATAAGCTTGGCAAGGCGAAACGGGGCATTAGAAAATCATATAGTTCCTTTGTATCAAAATTTGTGTCCATTGTCATACTGAAACTATAGAAAACATCAATTGATTAAATTAGTTAGAAATTGGTATTAACACCTGCGTAGGAGGAAAAATCACTACCTACAAAGTTTAAAAAGCATTTCACAAATTAGCACCATTAACAATACCTTTTCAGCTACTAACTCAATAGATTTAGCAATCCACACATAACTTTGGCAATTTCATATCTTTCGAATTTCAATATAACCGATTTCCCAAAAATCATAAAGATTTGAAAAACATGAAGCGCGCTCAAGGCATGTGTACTCGTGCATCTAAAGCAACAGTAAGACACATCATGAACTTGGACTGAGTACCAACAATGTTAAGTTCATGCCTCGAGTACTTACCACAAAGTACTGAGAACAAACTGGGCATTCATGTGGCTTGCCCTTCTCCAGCCAGAACCAAACAACGTCATGCTCGTCCTCTGTTATAATATGGGAATGCAGAATATAATCATATATATTATATACAAAATCTCTACGCAGATAAGAAAAGAAAACAAACGTAGATGAAGATTGAAGACTCACCGCCTTCAACTCCAGGGCATCCAACAATTCTCTTGTCATAGTAGGACTTGACCACAGCAGGTTCTTCCTGCCAGCATACGAAAAAGATAGCAACTGAGCATGATATCACATATTAGTACTGCTTCTTTTCGTCATTATCACTTTTGGTCTGCTTTTTCTGTGGTTAGATTGGGGTCAAGAAAAATCTCAAACACTATATCCTAGTGCAAGACAAAAAGTCTAGAGATTGTAAATAAACAGTCTGATGGCAACAACAATATTCAAGCAAATTATTTACTAATTGAAGACTTAAATGTGCGTCATTTATGCACTTATACTACAATTACTTCATAAGACTAATTAAATTTCAACAAGAATGTCCATACATATAATATTTGTGCTTCGGACAACAGAGTTATTTGAAAACAACCACGCCTAGAAAAAATTGCAAAACAATAAGAACTCCAAACCGTTAGGAAATGGTACATAAAAAATACACGGAAAATTACGTATATAAAATATGCATAGTGTAATATCATAATACATAACAATATAACATGTACATATATAATAGATCCATGCAATATAAAAATATATACATGATATGTACACACATCCACTAATTATCTGATGGTTTCATCTCATTGAAACACTATCTCTCTTTTGAATATGAGTCATAGTGTACAATGCTTTGCAGATATCCTAGGATGATAATATTCAGAGCATTGGTATACACTATATAATATTGAAAAAAGGAAAGAAAAATAAGGCATTGGTGGATAAGATGCTT